GAATCCCCCCCTGCCTCTCCCGCGGCCTCGGATGTTGCCGCCTCTTCCCCGCCCGCGCATGTTGGGCGGAGGGGGCACCTCGTTGTGCATGGGGCCTCCCATCCCGAAACCCGGGTTGTGCTGCTGAGGGAAGGGAAGGCAGCGTTAGCCAAGCGCCGACTTGCGCGCCGTCGAGGGGGAAACCGAGGTTTGGCGAGGCGTTGGGAGCTCTGGAGCGGGGCAGGCAGCCAGCCCGCCTCCAAAGGCAGGGGGGGCAAAGCCGAAAGCGAGGGGGGCGGCTACCAGAGAAGGGTCACCTCCGGAAAACAGAAGCTGTTTTCTGTAAAACCCGATGGTATTTCTGCTTCCGAGCCCCACGGCCCCGAGCAGATCCTGCTTTTTTAAATTCTCTTCCCTCCCCAAAAGGGGATTAAAAGCAGAGAGCAGGAGGCGCCGGCGCCGCAGACCCCTCGGTCGCACCACAAAGCCGCGGAATCGCGGATTTACTTACTTTTACGGCAAACTTGGGCCCTCCCCGAGCGGGCACGGGGGCTCTTTTCTTCTTGTTTTGCTCAATGGCAACAGGAGCATCGGGGAACAGCTTCTCCAGCGCAGCCAGAGCGGCGTAGGCTTTTGCCACCTTTTTATTTGAACCGGCTCCTTGGAATTTCTGCCCGTCGACCTCCACCTTCGGAAGGGATCAGATCATTGCGCGTGAGCGGGAAGGGCAGGACCAGAAGCTGACGCTTGGCAAAATTAAGTTTGGTTTGTTTTTTGTTTTTTTTTTTTTTTAAAACGGTGCCTGCAGACAATTCCAGCCGTTGGAAGCATCCGAGGTCAGGCTGGAGGGCCTTTGAGCAACGTGGCCTAGCGCAAGCGTCCCGGTCGGATGACCTTTAAGGGTCCCTTCCCACCCAAAACCATGCCTGGATTTTGTGATTTTAAAATTCTTACTCAGGCTACGAAGTTACAGGTGCCCGAGCTGGGAGGAAGGCCGAGGGAGAGGACCCAGAAGGCGCCTCACCTCCATGACAAAGCGCTTGTCGTGGCTGCCGCCCGTTTCCGAAATCAGTTCGTACTTCAGCCCGCGCCGTTTCTCGTTAAGCTCCATCACAGGATTCTTGCCGTGCTTCGTCAGGATTGGTCCCTGTTGTTTCACATTCTGCAAGCGGAGAAGCGGCGATGAAACTCCCAGAAACTCCCCCCCCCCCCCCCCCCCAC